GTAACTTCTAAGTAAAGTTCCAATTTTCATTAAATTTCGTTAAATTTCAATATAAGTAAGGTTATAGTCTTAATCTCGGGCTACAAATCTGTATAAGATAGTATATATTTATAATTGATACCCATTGAATGCGATAGAGTTTACTATTAGCGACAGTAAAACGAAAAAATTTTGAATTTATTTAGCTACTAAGCAAATATGGTTGAATTATAAAATCGAATGGAAATAATGTTATAATATTAAAATATAAGTTCTTACCTATCTAATAATATAAAATTTATATGAAATTAATATGTAAATTATCAAAATATACTTATTTAAAAATGAGGTATTTAATCGCAAAATTATTGTTGGTCGGTCATTTTTGCTAGGTGAGTGTATGTGGATTTTATGATTCATATACAAAGAAACATAAGGCGAAAGAAGAGTACCATCAGAAAAAGCTGACAGGGCTGACTAAGCTGATTAAGGGAGATAATATAGAGGTAAATAGTCCTAGTTAGATCAATGTTCCTATTATTACAATCAGTTCTTTAAGATGCTTATGTGTGACAAGCAAAGCAATATTTATGGGTGGTATGCAGAAGGTTTAATTTGATATTTAGATTTAGAAGAGTGTCAATAAATTAACAGTTTATTTAATAACTATAACAATGGAGTACTGCCTCAGTCAGTGCTCTGTACTATACAATTATGTTAAGGGAATTAAACTAAACTATTATATAAAACTATGAGTCAGACACACTGCTAAGCTAAAAAAATTTGTCCTCTATTTATATAAAATGAAAAATATAAAGTTACCGAAGATATAAAAGAAATAATATAATAAAATAAAATATATGAAATAAGTAAAACATAATAGATATATAAGATAAATAAAATAAAATAAATAAAAGAAATCTATCGTATAAAAGAAATATATGCTATAGATGACATATATGACATAGAAGACATATATGATTTCTTAGGAATCGATGTCATCCTTTAGATCGTCATCATCTATGTTTTCTTTTGTGTAATACTATATAGTCCTAAAATAAGCATCCTATGATACATTTTTTTTATAGTAATTTATTTATTTGTTACATAGAATTTATTATATTATTAGTTATATATACTAATAAATTCATATATATCATGTGATGCTTATTTTCAAGACTATACAGTAACTATATTTATAAATTATTTAAATTTTTAAATTATATAAATTTCTCTATTATTTTTAAAAAAATATTTTAGTAGATTGGTATTCAAGATTAGACTTAAAGTCAAATTCAGATATTTAAGGTCTTAGCAAATAGGTCACAATTCAAAACTTGACTCAAAAGTCAAATTTATATATTTAAACTTTATCAACTTATAATTTTTGCTAAGCTTATATAAGGCTAAAATTTGAATTATGAATTCAAAAGTATATATATGATGTAATTTTCAATTTTGTATTATATAATTAAATTGCTTTACTTATTTTCTGATATAACTTTGTTAATATATCACAATTATTAAGTAATTATAATATTATACTTGAATATTTTATAATAAATTAAAATGATAAATTGTTATTATTCCTATAACAATTAAAATACTCAGTATTATAACTAATAGGTATTATAAAATTTATTTTTATATTATATCTGAGGTAATTTGATCTTAAAATCATTCTTAATATTCAGTTTTTAAGATCAAAGTACATTAGTTTATATGATAATCAGATCGGAAATTTCACTTTTAATTTTCACCTATACTTCTTAGTTAAAAATATTGGATCATGTAATTTTTGATACTTAAATTAATATAATTTTATTATCATAACTTTTGATAAAATGCATAAACATGAACTAAATTTTTTTTCTACATAATTACAAGCTTTAATATTTGAATATATGTATATTTTAATGCTAAAAATCTAAGAACCTATTGAATTTGAATAAGGTGAACAAATTAATCCAAAAATACTTGGAGAATTAATGGTTGTTTTAAGGGAAAAATGAAATGAAATTGAAACAGACATTTTAGAAAATTTAGTAAAGTGTGTCAAGAAGGGTTTAAGCTGTAATAGATAGCAATGGTTATCCAATTAATTACTAATTATTTTTATAAAAAATTTGTTTTATGAATAAAGTAAAAAAATTTTTATGTAAAATTACTTATTAAAATTTTTTGTAATTAAAAAATTAAAGTTGGCTATTAAATTTAAAATTTGCGATAATTTTAAAGTGGTCCAATATTTTTGATCGGGGAGTGTACATGTTCCAAATCTTTTATTATTTGATAAAAACTTAGGTACAATTGACTTCAAATAAATACAAATGCAGATAATTTAGCCTTTTTTATTTTTATTTTATTTTATATAAATACGAATTAAAAGTAAATATACGTGAATGAAAATCGTCCGGAATCTATTCAAAATTAAAAAGGTAAAAAAGGTAATAAGAGAACGAGAACGTGACAAGAATACCCTTGAATTAAAAGATAAATTCGATTATTTCGATAATAAATAAGAAAATATACTTTCCTATAAAATCACTTAACCTTTTGAAAATTTTTAAACTTAGGAACCCCAATCTATCACATTTTTTAAAACCCTTTTTTTTTTAAAAAAAAAAAAATATATATAAAAAATAAAATGCATAATCGTTAAAAAGAAAAATTATATACATGATTTACTTAAAATAAAAAAAATTCGAACTCGGTAAAGTTTTTTTTTTCATCCAACCTTTTCTCCAATACTTTTTGAATCGTAAACGAGAGTTCTTTTATTTTCTCCTTATAAAATTTTTTAATAAAATCCTTGAAGAACCGTAAGCATGTTATATAATTAGTACAATTGTCACAATTTTGATAAGGTTGAAATAAACAATCAGAACATAAATATATTTTTTTTTATTCTTCCATCTGTCTTTTAACACCTCTCGAAGGTTGAAGCGATAAAGGACTAGAAACATTTGGACCGCCACCAGGAGGTGGATAATGTTGTGAAGGATGTCCAATTGGATATTGTTGATAATTTACACTTCCAGGAGGTGGCACAGAACCAGGAACACCGCCTGGAGGAATATTGCCTTGAGGGCCAGGACCCAATGATGTAGCATTAGTAGGAGAAACTATTGATGGTCGAATTCCCGGGGACACGATTTTCATGGGAAGATAACCTGGTTCAGTCTTAATCATTGGTATACTTTGAGGCGGACCTACAACTCCAGGTGCTACCATTCCTGGTGGTGCTGATCCTATTCCCGGTGGTGGTATGGAAAGTCCTGGTGCGGGAACAGTACCAGGTGCACCAGCTCCTGCAGGAGGTCGACCTAACATCATCGGTGGTATTGGAGCTCCTAAAAGTAAAAATAATGAAAATGTTAATATTGAATAAATTGGAAAAAAGAGATTCTGTAACTTACCACCATATTGAGGGGGTGCAGCACCCGGAACTGGAGCCGTTGGTGGTGGAAGACCAGGAATATATCCATATTGAGGGGGAAATCCTAAAAAAAATAATAAATGAGATTATTATATAGTTCAATACTGGATGTAAAGAAAAAATAAGTCTTACCTGATTGTCCAGCTCGTTCATACGCCTTTGTGATTTCATCGATAATTGCTTGTGCTTTATCTTGCCCTAACTCTGATAATAATGGCACAGCAATAAATAGTGGAAACTTTAATTAGAAATTCTTTGAAACTTTTTAGAAAAAATTTTATAAAACAATAAAAATATTCACCAGCATAATAATTCCTAACGTTCATGATGTGGTTTTTACCATTATTGTGGGCTTTCCTCACCGAAGAGGAATCTAAACAGAGAAAATGATTAGTATGTTTTTTTTTATTTTTGGTCAAAAAGTGAACGAAGAGAGAAGTCATTACCATGTGTTAAGTATACATCACAGTAATCTAAGTTGTTTATATAATAGATCGACAAGATATAAAAGTTAATAACTTGCTTTACGAAGAAGTCGTTTCATTAACTTACCACAGTAATATTTTGGCATAATTATTTCGAAAGATCTAAATATTAAGACGAGTATCTATCATTCATTTAATCAAAATATGTTCACGATTTAATTTATATATGATAAAAATCTGGTACAACCGAAAATTTTATCGGATTTAGAAAATATCCGATAAAATTTCCGTGTTCCGGATTTTTATCCGGTAAATTTCTAAAGCACACTTGAAATATATACGAGTGATGTTCTGAAAAAAAGTGAGGGAAATTCCATCATTAACTCCGTTGGTGGAAAAAATTTACATTTAATTACTTCACGTTGAGAGAAACTTTCGAAATTCAATAAATTGAAACTGATAATTTTGCTCGACCAATAGAAACTAACGCCATTGCTGATACTAGACGAATCACATGAAAGCCTAAAATATTAAAATTGACCCCGAGATTCTCGAAATATAATTTTAAACAAAAGCAAAAGATGTCCTCAGACGGACCTCCAGGTTTTTTTTTTTTTTTTTTCTTTAATATACTTTTATTACTAGATTTTTTTTTTATGTTAACCAAAGAATTTTTTTTTTGTCTAAAAATTTATTTAGAAATGATAGCTACGCAGAAAGAAATGGCCGAAGCAAAGCTTCCATTAGGATATAGAGATTATTGTGCACATTTATTGATACCATTAAATAAATGTCGTATTGAAGCTTGGTATTTACCATGGAAATGTGAAGATGAAAAACATGCATTTGAAAAATGTCAATACGACGAGTAAGTTTTATCATCAAGTTTAAATGCGAAATCTTTTCTAATTGATATATTAAAAATCGATCTAATTTATTTTTAATATGTCAAGTTATATGAGGAGGATGAGACTTTTGGCGAAACGAAAAAAGAAAGAGGATCAAGCAAAAACAGAAATTGACGCTTAGATTTATTATTTATTATTAAAAAGTTTAATAATATTTTTTCAAGGATTATTAAGACAATTAGGTTGCAAGAGGAAATGGAAGATTTTATTTTAGAAAATTTCTCGTCAAGATTAATTAATATTAATTACATTCTTCATAGTGCAAAAGCAAACAATTAGAAAATATTCAAAATTTTCTTTTTGAAATTATTCATTTAATTTATCTATTCTTTTGCTCAGTAAATAAAACTCGTTGACGAACTTAATATCAAAAAAGAAAAAAAAATAAGTTTTTGAATAAAAAAAAAAAAAAAAAATAATTAAAATAAAAATAATTATCACCTTTTGGATCATATTTAACGAATGATAATTTTGGTAATTGACGCGGTCTAACTCGTGTAAAAAAGTATCCCGTACCAGCAGTGGAAACGAGTCGTACTATTGTTGTCCTTAAATGATCGAATAAAGAATAAATAACGTTCGTTTTTCAATGATTTATAAACTTACATTAATATTTTTTTTTACCTTGCTTTACCCTTTTTTGCCACTTATTTTTTTTTTAAAAAAAAAAAAAAAAAATTATATATATTTTATTGAGGAAGTAAATAAATTATTTATTTAAAATTCGGACTTACTTTGTATATTTAGGTGTACAATAAATTCAATTATACGAACATTTCTGATATTTATATAATTTTTTTTTTAAGAAAAAAAAAAAACAAACTCGGTGGCTTAGCTGTCGATTAATTCAGAAATTTAAAATTCATTTAAATCAGAGTTTTAACTCGAGACATACCTACCAAAATGTTTCATGCTTTAATAAAAAAAACTTTTTTAAATAATTTAACAAAAAGAAATTTCGCTTCAATATCTAAACCACCTGTAAAATTAAATCGACAGGAAATATCGAACAGACAAAAATTTCGACAAATAAATCCTCCTCCCTCAATACTTAAAGAAATAGAAGCATTGGGCTTGGGGAAACCACGCAGAGTAAAAACGAGTCGGTTCGCTACTAAAGTTGCAATTGTTGGACGAAAAAAATTGGAACATACATTGGGCAAATTAGAAATTCCACAAGAGGAATTAGAGGTTACTATTAAATTAAATTATTCATATATGAAAAATAATTGAGTTTTAAAGAGTACCTCCTTTTGTATAATTATAAAGTTACCTCATTTGTCATTCTTTGCTGGGGCAAAAATTCCTTCTTCGATTCCTCCAGAACGAGTTCCTGAAGTAGCATTCGTTGGTAAATAAAAAAATTCTTTGCACATTATCGTCGTATAAAACTTTGACGCGCATACTTTAATAATAATTTAAGGACGATCCAATGTGGGAAAGTCATCTTTGATAAATGCTTTGGCAGATACAACGATCGTAAGAACTTCAAATAAACCAGGTCTGACGCGGCAAATCAATTTCTATGCTGCGAGTAGAATCTTCAATATGATAGATATGCCTGGATATGGATTCGCCTACGTAAAAGAAGAAGAATTGATTCAATGGGGAAAACTGGTATGTTGGTCATTTATTACCAAAAAAAAAAAAAAATAGTAATTTATTTATCATTATTATTTTTGTTAAGAATAGATAGAAACTTATATAACAACGAGATCAACGCTCAAAAAAATTTACGTAATTATCGATGCTCGACATGGTATTTTTCTCAACATTTTTATTATGCAATTACGCAAGCAATTATGTAATTATGTGAATTTATTTATTGTAGGAATTAAATTAGCTGACGTAAATTTTCTCGATATGCTTGATAAGTTAAGATATAATTATTAATTTGGTCTCGGCTTTGGTTTTTTTGTTTTTTTACCTAATGTAAAAATTTTTTTTTATTATTTTAGGAAAGACGTCAAGTTTCAAATTGTGTTAACAAAATGTGATATGGTGATACCACCGGATTTAGCAAGACGTTACGTAGTGGTTAAAAAAAAATTGAATCAATATAAAAATGCAAATGAAGAACCATTAATGGTATCGGCAAGGAAAAAGGCAGGGATTCTCAATTTAAGGAAAGAAATTTTACATACGGTTGAAGCATTAGAAAAAGCACGTCAACAGAATAAGGCATTATTAATCGATAATGGAAGGAAAGTTAGGAATTCACGACATTCAAATGCAAAAAGAAAAAAGCGTGTTTCAAGGAAAATGTAATCCTAAATTAGGTAGTATTATGATGACGTAGATCTTGAGAGCAAAAACGTGAAATTCTATGTGATTTAATATTGTAAAAGATCATCAACACGTAATTTTCGACAAGTTAATGCCCTGAACCCTTTGTGTTCGATGTAGATCTTTTACAAAATGATGATTACATTTTTAATTCCAAATAAGGTTAACCTTACAAGGCGTTCAGCCACATTAGTTAATACAACAAATTTTTTTTTTAAAAAAAAAATTGAAAGCTCATGCTTCTATGTTGAAAATAAATTAGATCTTCAAATAGTGTTGTAATAAGATCAACTGTCAAAATCCCTTTAACTTGAATTTTTTCAGCCAATTTAAAGGCGTTATCGTAATATAAATAAATCATTAAAACATTCATGCATGAAAGTTCTTTAAAATTCTAGGTGAGATTAATTCACATGTAATTACACCAATCTTATACCATAAATGTACTCATGATTTTCGCAGAAATTCATAGGATATTCAACATGGAACAGTACAAATTCGGCCATCAAGTTCATGGTATATCTGAAATAAACCATGTAACTTTAATTTCACGCGACTTTGTTCCATGAATAACGGATTATCCCTTTGTTTACCAACATAACTTTTTTTTTTTTATCTTCTGAAGATCCCATTCTTCTAATTATAAATAGGACAGGGATTTATCCTTTCTGAACAAGAAAAAATATTTTTCCAAAAAAACCAAAAAATAAAAAAAACCAAAAATTTATCCATGGCTTCAGCTACTGAAACTAATACGGCTGCTCCCAATATGACATCAAGAATGTCTGATTATTTCACCGGTTTAAAACAAAAAATGCCCACCTCCGTGTCATCTAAAGTTGATTACGGTGTTGAAAGAGCGAGAAGTATTGCAACCGGAGTTTCTACGGACCTTCAAAAAACTGCGGAGAAGAATAATGTGAATTCCTTTTTGCCTTCGGATGTTGCTACTGAAGTTCAAAAGGCTGCTAAAATTTTAAATAGTTTTACGGAACCTGAAAAAGAAGAAGGTGGTTTGGAAAGTGTAATTCCAAAGGATGTTTTTAAACACGCCAAAGGTCTGGCAGTCTTTACTGCTATCAAGGCAGGTTTCTTTTGGTCCGGTCGTGTCGGTTCCGGTTTAGTTGTCGCAAAGTAAGTTCTAGTAGCTGTTTGATTCGATAAATTTTTTATCCGACAATGCCAATGAATTCTAATTTTTTCAACATAAAAAAATAATGTAGACGTCCCGATGAAAGTTGGTCTTGTCCATCATTGATAAACATCGGTGGTTTGGGATTTGGTGCACAACTTGGCGCAGATGTTACCGACTTTTTAATCGTTCTTAACACCGACGATGCTGTAAAAGCTTTCACTCGTGGGGAAAATCTCACCTTGGGTGGAAACTTGTCGGTTTCAGCAGGTCCCGTTGGATTTGGTCAAGAATATTCCGGTTCATTATATGATCGTGCTGCTCTCTACTCCTATAGTAAATCAAAGGGTCTCTTTGCTGGCGTATCTGTTCAAGGAACCATAATTATGGAACGAAAGGATGCCAACCGCACCTTCTACGGCATAGATTTGTCCGCTGAAGATATCTTATGCGATAGAATTGAAATCGAGAAAGAACAAGAAGAATCTCTTAAAGTCTTATATGATGCCATTAAGAAAGCTGAGGAAAGGGAGCATTAATTTATAAAAAAAAAAAAAAAAAATATTTTTTTTCCCCTTTCGTTTTTAAGACTTTTTAAATTATTCTTCGATGGGATTTCTGTTTTATATCATTTATAATAATAATATATCATATAGTATATAAATCTTTTTAACATCTATTCATTTCAAGTAATACAAGATTAATAAAAACATTTTCATATGATCAATTTTGCAGTGGGTTGTGAATAAAATTAATTATTCATTAATTAAATAAAATATAATTTATTTTTCACTTCCTTTGGTTCCCGCTGAAAATGTAAAATATCGCAAGTTTCTTTCGTAATTCAATTTTTTCTTATCTACAAAAAATAAAAATAAAAATAAAATAAAATTATAAAAATCTATTAATAAATAAATCAATTTAATTTAAACCTTTTTGTTCTTTTTTCATTTCTCTTATTAATTGCTTTTGCATTTCAAGTCGTTTAAGTTTTTGAGTATATTTTAGTTTTTCTTTAAATTTCTTAATACCCTTTTTAGTTGAAGGCATTTTCATTTTAACCTTATTACTTTTGGAGCTAATATCGGATTTTTGAATTGAAGTGGATTTGTTTGTGCTGACCCTTCTAAGTAAATCTAACAATTTAGAAGACTTGTCAGGTTTATTAATAGTAGTGGTTTTAGAAGTGGAAGATCGTGTGGATTTTGTGTTGGTCATTGTTAGAGGAAATGAGATAAAAAATATTGCATGAAAATCTGAAAGAATTTCTCATATATTTGAACTGACAACGTGTTTGTGTTACATAAATTTTTTTGATAATCTTTACTAATGTCCTCAGCATACGGAAAGATTCTAACGTCTACCTCAACTACATCTACTTCTCTCTCTTCTATCCTTCCAATTACAACAACACTTCAAACAATAAATACAACGGTAACCATATTACCTCTAGACATTCATTCCTCAAATGACTTCACGACCCTTATCTCTCACATGCATAATGTATTTAATGAAATAATTAAAGAAGGGAACACTTACCCACAGGAATTTCCCTTTTCTCTTGATGAATTCATTAATTATTTTTTAAGTTATGATGCATTTATTGCGTTAAAAGATGACGTTAAAGAATTGGATAAGGTAATGGTTAATGAAAAAATTGTGTGGGATGACAAATTGCTTGGGATGTTTTACATCAAACCAAATTATCCGGGACGATGTAGTCATGTGCGTATATGGTGCTGTCTTTTTTAAAAAATAAAAAGTTTTAACATTATCGATAACATTTTATTCTTTGAAAAGATTTGTAATGCAGGTTTTGTGGTTCCAAAACGACATCGTGGGAAACGAGTAGGAAAATTAATGGTTCAATCTTTTCTAAAGGTTGCTCCTTTATTAGGTTACAAATCTTCTATATTTAATCTAGTATTTGAAAATAATGTAGCCTCGATAAAATTATGGAGAGAATTTAAATTTAAAGAAATTGGTAGAATACCCAATGCTGGTCGTTTAAAAAAAGTTGGTGGTAATGAAGGAGAAGAAGAATTCGTGGATGCTATTATGTTTTATTATGATTTTGAAAAGATTAATGATTGAAAAAACAAGTTTGAGCTTTCACAACATAAAGTAATTGTATAAGAAAATAATATATATAAATATATATATATATAGGTATCTTATTTCGCGACAAATTTATTTAATTAATGGTTGTACTTGACATAAATCGTTTTTATAGGCTAAAAAATTAATGGTTCGATTCAAAAAAATTTTGTGCCACGATGATTATCTATATAAATTCGAACGTCTCTTTGAAATTCACCATAAAAAATGTCTGTTATCGAGGGCTTATCTCATATCGTATTAGCTACCTCTTCGATAGAAAAGTATGAGAGCTGCATACAGTTTTATAGTCAGTTTGGTTTTGAAACCGTGGTGAATTCAAAAATTGCGACAAGTGAACCGAGTAAATATTTAACGCAAGAGAAATGGTTACATTTATTTGGTAAACCACCAGTCCATGATATCACTTTAAAACTTGTGTTAGTAGCAAACGCGATTAAAAAAGTACCTACTTCCGAAGAAAAGGATTGGAGGTTAGAACAAGTATCTGTAGCTTCTGTAACAAAGGATATTGTGGTATGAGTTATGCACATGCAAAATAATATTATTTACAAAATTTATTAATTTTATCCTTTCACTTCGATATCATTAAGGCTGTTGAATCAATTTTAAAATCCATTAATGCAAAGTATCAGAAATATGCATATTCTGATGTCAATGAAACCGATCTATTAGCAACAACGACTCCAGCAAATTTGGTTCATACTGAAATTTACACTCATGATCCACTTGACAACTTGATCGTTTTCACCAATAAACCAAATCCTTTTAGTAAATCAATTTATCCAATTAAACCAAAATCACCTGTAAAAAAAGAAATTATTGAAAGTGGTCTAAAAATCCTTCCACAAGGTACAAAAATGAGGATTGGTGTATTGACTAGTGGAGGCGATTCCCCTGGTATGAACGCTGCGGTGAGATCAATTGTTAGAGTCGCGATTTCACGTGGGTGTGAGGCGTATGCTATCTTTGAAGGGTATAAAGGTAAATTTAAAATTCATGCTACAGGGTTTTAAATAATACGCGTCAAAAATATTCAAACTTTATTTTTAATGTAGGCCTGGTAAACGGTGGTGATATGATTAAAAAATTTGAATGGGGTGACGTTAGAGGTTATCTTGCCATTGTAAGTCCCAATATTTTTAAAGTAATTGCAAGCGTTAAACACTAAGATTTACATGAATCCTTTAGGGTGGTACGCTAATTGGTACGGCACGTTGTGCTGCTTTTCGTGAACGTAAAGGTCGATTAAGTTCAGCATATAATTTGATTAAAAATAAGATCAACTCTCTGATTGTCTGTGGAGGAGACGGCTCATTAACCGGAGCAAATGCTTTGAGAGAAGAGTGGCCCGGTTTGTTAAGTGAATTAATAGAAGAAGGTATAACTCTTTAATAAAAAATTATAAGTTAATATTCCAATAAACTTACTAGAAAATGACTTGTAGGAAGGATTACTGCGGAAGAGGCTGAACCATATAAACACCTCATAATAGTTGGTCTCGTAGGATCCATTGACAATGATATGTCATCAACCGATATTACTATTGGTGCTACTACTTCGTTGCACAGAATTTGCGAAGCTGTTGATAGTATATCATCCACGGCTTTAAGTCATTCTCGTGCTTTTGTCATTGAAGTTATGGGAAGGCATTGCGGATGGCTTGCATTGATGGCAGCGGTTAGGTAAATCATATTCAAACATTCAACCTTATATTGGGTTTGATCAATTTAAGTTGATTATGTTTTTTGTTTATCATTATGTTATTAAAAGTTGTGGTGCGGATTTTGTCTTTATACCTGAGCGACCTCCAACACGTGATGATTGGGAGAGTGATATATGCGAAGTTCTAGAAAGAGTAATCATCATTTCCATTGCTATAATATTATCATTAAAAAATTTGAAAAACTAATATTTATTATATCAAAATAATATTAACAGCATCGTAGACTTGGTAAACGTAAAACTATCGTTATTGTAGCTGAAGGTGCTATTGATAAAAACCTCAAACCAATCAAGTCTGAATATATCAAGGAACTTTTGACTAATCGTATGGGACTTGATACAAGGGTCACTACTTTGGGTCATACGCAGCGTGGGGGTAGACCATGTACTTTTGATAGAAATCTTGTAAGTTTTCTAATTATGATTATTTTAATTCTTTTAGAGTTGTTATTTAGATTAATCATTATAAAAATAGGCAACAATTCAAGGTGTTGAAGCCGTAGAGGCTGTCTTGCGATCAACACCTGATACGCCATCTCCTTTGATAGGGGTTCGACAAAATAAAATTACATGTGATCCGTTGATGTTAGCCGTTGAGAAGGTAAGTTGTCTTGTTATATTAAGGTAAATATGAACACCTCATTAATGTGATATATTAAAAATATGTTAGACGAATAAAATTGCTGAGGCCATAGCACAAAAGAACTTTAGACTCGCAATGGACTTGCGTGATCCTGAATTTACCGAAGATTATCAAGCTTATGTTACCACGACGATTGTGGATAATCAACTTTTAGTTCTTCCGGAACAACAAGTTCGTATAATCAACAAATCCAAATGATGAATAAAATAAACGTATGATTAGAATATTAAATTTTTTTTTTTTGATAAATATTAGCGTATTCGTATAGGAATTTGCCATATCGGTGCACCGGCTGGTGGTATGAATCCAGCCACTCGAGCAGCGGTTCGTTACGCACTAAATCGTGGTCACACCCCAATTGCTATATATAATGGGTTCGCTGGTCTCTTGCAAGATAATGTGCGTGAACTTTCATGGTTTGATGTGGATGGCTGGGCCTCCAAAGGAGGCTCTGAATTAGGTACAAATAGAATTGAACCAAATATCGATATTGGAATGGTTGCATATCAATTCCAAAAGCATAAAATACATGGTTTACTTTTAATTGGTGGATTTGAAGCATATACTTCATTACTCAGGCTAAACGAAGCTAGAAAACAGTATCCAGCATTTTGCATACCAATGATATGTTTACCTGCTACTATTTCAAATAATGTGCCAGGTACTGATTTCTCTTTGGGAAGCGATACTAGTTTGAATGCTATTGTAGATAGTTGCGATGCAATTAAGCAATCCGCATCCGCGTCGAGAAGACGTGTATTTGTTGTTGAGGTTCATGGTGGCCAATGTGGTTATTTGGCTGTTATGTCGGGACTTGCGGTATGTAAAAAAAGAAAAAAAAAGGTTTCCCTGATAAGGTTCATATTGAGTTTCTTTTTGATATATATAAAGTGCTCTTATATAATTATAGGTTGGTGCGACAAGCGCGTATATCCCTGAAGATGGTATTTCCCTTAAGACGCTTCAGGCAGATGTTAATCATTTAATTCGTAGATTTGGAGAAGATAAGAAAGGAAGTAGTTCAGGAAGATTAATTCTTAGAAATGAATGTGTATCAAAAACATACACAACGGATGTTATCGCTAGTATTTTTAAATCAGAGAGTTGTGGACTTTTTGATTCAAGAACTAGTATTTTAGGTCATGTTCAACAAGGTGGTTCGCCTTCTCCAACAGATCGTATACGTGCTACTAAACTTGCTGTGAAATGTGTAAAATTTTTGGAAGAATTTACATCACCCTTCGAATCAGAAAAAATAGTATATCCGAGTATATATACAAATGTAAAAGAATCTGTTGCTGTGATTGGAATTGGTGGTGCACAAGTCAAATATACGGTAGATAACTTTCAAATTGTTAATGCGCATTTTATTTTAAAAAACAAATTTTTTTCTTCCGGGATACTTACAATACCTATTAAATCTCTTTATTAGCCGGCTGTTGACTTGTTGGCAGAAACTGACATCGAAAATCGTAAAAGTAGAAAAGCGTGGTGGATTCATTTGAAGGGTTTAGTAGAATTATTATCAAAATGGGGTAAAGTCAATTATGATTTTCTCTCTCTTTTTTCACTTGATGAAATCTAAACTAAATTTTGTTTATTGTATAGGATATGCTGATGTACAAACAAATACTGATGAATTTTTTGAAATTCTTGATAAAGATTTACATACTCAAATTATATAAATTTCAATTTAATATTTATTTTATTTAATAAATTGTATATTATAAATGATTCTATTTTAAAAAGAATTTATTCTTATAAGATCAAATGCTTAAATGAATACTAAAACCATTATATGATAAAATATGTCAATTTGTCAAAAAAATTTTTATTTGAATAAAACTTTAAAGTAAAATATTTTAATATATTTAATAATTTATTACTTAAAATTTATAGTTGTTAGTAAGAAAAAATAAATTAATAAAATCTACCTTATATTAAAAATTTATTTTAATATAAAAAAAAAAAAAATAAATAAAAATTTTAATTTAATAAAAATGTATTTAATGAAAAAAATTATTTTTATAATAAATTTGAAAAAACAATATTTTTTTTTTATATTTAATTAAGAAAATTATAATATAATAATTGTATTTATAAAAAAATTAAATTTAATTATTTAAAATATTAATAAATTAAAAAACTTTATATTATTTAATTAAACTTAATTATTATATTATATATTAAAATAATATGAATTTTTATTTAAATTATAATACAAAATTTTACATAATTTATTTTTTAATTTTTAATTAAAAATATATTATAATAAATTATTTTAAATAAAATTTAATTAAATTTAAAATATTAATCTTTAATAATGTGATAGTATAATCTTATAATTTTATTAGTTTAAATATATGTACTAAAGTTATAATAAAATTTTATATTAATAATATTAATTATAGTATTATTACATGCAAATAATATAAAATTATAATAAGTTATTTTTAATAAAAAATTAAATTTTAATTGATTACTAAAAATTTATTAAAATATATAAATAATATTTAAAAACTTTATCATTTATTTATTAGATTTAAATATATATTATATACTATATATAAGATTGCTAAATGAAACCTAAAGATTTGCAAGTCATCTA